CCCGGAGCTGGGCCCTGCAGCCCAAGCTGACCACCCGCTCTGCCCGACCTCCCTTGCAGCTACTACCTGAAGGAATCCAAGGGCAGCCGACGGTGGCTACTCTTTCTGGAAGGTGAGTCCCAGGGGCTGAGGAGGCGGGTTGGGCGAGGGTCCCCTGGGCACTGGACCCTGAGGTGGTGGCTATGCACGCAGGAGGCTGGTACTGCTTCAACCGGGAGAACTGCGACTCGCGGTATGACACCATGAGGCGCCTCATGAGCTCCAAGGACTGGCCACGCACTCGCACAGGTCAGCAGGCCATGGAGTGCCCAGGAGTCCCCTGCTGGGGGAAGGGGGCTGACAATCTGAAGTTCTGGAAGAAGCCCCCCTCCTTCACTCCCTAGAGCCCCAGAGAGGCCCCACTCCATCCACCCCTCCCCTCCCCCAAGGGTAGGGAACGCTCACACTCGCTCTTCGTGCTTATTCCACAGGTAACTTCCCAGGGCTCACCGTGCCTGTGCGGTACGTGGTCGGTCCCTAAATGAAAGCAGTTGGTGGAGTGGCCATGCCAGATATCACAGCCTGGCTGGGCATCCTGGCCCTGGTGACTCTGTGGAGTAACTAAACCCGTCCATTCCCCACTTCCCTGGCCACCCTGGTTCAGGCAGGTGTCACCACCCACCTCCTTGCTGGGACCAAGTAGGATACCCCCACGTCCCCAGCCTTCCTGCCGTCCTCATCCCTGTATGCCCCCTCCCCCCAGAAAGACCCACTGCCTCTGTCCTCCCGGCCACAGGCACGGGGATCCTGTCCTCCCAACCAGAGGAGAACCCCCACTGGTGGAACGCCAACATGGTGTAAGAAGGGGCAAAGGGTCCTTCCTGGGGGTCCTGTCCATGGGAGTCCTTCGTGGACAGTCCTTCCTAAGGGGGCTCTTAGGGGGAGTCCATCTGAGGGGTCTTGTCCTTGGGAGGATCTTGTCCTGGGAAAGATCCTTCCTGGGGCAGGGGTCCTAACCTCAGGAGTCCTTCCTGGGGAAGGTGGTCCTTCCTGGGGTCCTTGGGCAACAGAGGAGCATGGCTCACGTCGTCCCTGTGTCACAGCTTCATCCCCTACTGCTCCAGTGACGTCTGGAGTGGGGCTTCATCCAAGTCTGAGAAGAGTGAGTCCCCTGGCCTCCCCCTCCCTCCCCCTCCCAGAGCCAGGGCAGGGGAGATGGAGATTCTGGGGAAATACAGACTTTCAGCCTCGTCACTTCCTCTAACCCTTTGATATGTGTCCCAGGGTGCCCGTCTCCAGCACCCACTGGCTGGCTTGTACATGGCAGGCCTGACCCTTGGGGGGGGCGTCGCTTCTGGGTGTTCCCTGGGAAAGGGCCCCCAGAACAGCCTTGTATACCTGATCCACCTCCCTTCAGTCTACCCCAGCCCCTGGCCTCATCCCCTGGAAGACCCTCCAAGCCCCCAGCTCTATCCCTCCCCCTTCCAACCTGGGGGTAGGAGGCCTTGCTCTCTGCCCAGGCCCCTACTCGAAGCATCCTCTTTCCCCGTGCAGACGAGTACGCCTTCATGGGCGCCCTCATCATCCAGGAGGTGGTGCGCGAGCTTCTGGGCAAAGGGCTGAGCGGGGCCAAGGTGCTGCTGCTGGCAGGGAGCAGGTGGGCCGGGCTGGGGCTGGGGCGGCAGGGTGCCCATGGAAGGGAGAGGAGGGGGCTGAGCCTGGGCAGACCCGCGGCCGGGGAGAGCAGCATCCTGGGGTGTCCTGGAGGCTTGGTCCCCACGTGCTGTGTAGGAGAAGCTGTCCAGAGGACTCTTCTGGAACTGTGGTTGTTGGATGTGAGGGAAGCCTGGGACCGCAGTGACCTCGGTTGTTGGTTAGGGGTTATCTGTGAACCAATGTACCTCCAAGGCCAGGGGTTCCTGCAGGCAGGATCACACCTGTTGGCCACTGTATCACTGCGGGCATGTAGGGGACCCAGGGGGACATCCGAGAACTAGATGAAGGGGCCTGGGCCACACAGGTCATTCTCACTTTCCGATAAGGAAACAGAGAGGAAAGGAAGGAGGGGTGGGAGAAAGTGGTATGACCTGACCCTGGTTCATTGCAGCTCCCCCGGCCCTTCTCTGTCTTCAGGACCCCGATGGGCCCACGAGTCTTGCCAGGAACCCAGACAATGTTGGCAGTTCAGAGTGCACGGGGATCCCTGTCCCCTTGGGATGGGCTTGGGGCTGGGTAGGTTCTGTGGGAGGTGAGCATCCTTCCACGTCCACCTGGCCTGACGTCCCACCTTCCCTGCAGCGCGGGGGCCACGGGGGTGCTGCTGAACGTGGACCGCGTGGCCGAGCAGCTGGAGGAGCTGGGCTATACGGCCATCCAGGTGCGGGGCCTGGCTGACTCCGGCTGGTTCCTGGACAACAAGCAGTACCGCCGCACGGACTGCATCGACACCATCACCTGCGCTCCCACGGAGGCCATCCGCCGGGGCATCAGGTGCCCCGCGAGGGAGGGCCTGTCCCACACTCTGGGGCCCTGCCTGGCCTCGTGGCCCCCCGTGCAGAGGGCCCAGGGTGGGTGCAGAGCGGGTGGCTGAGCTTGTGGAAGACGGGGGGCAGCTAACCTGCCGCGTGTGGCCCAGGTACTGGAATGGCGTGGTCCCAGAGCGCTGCCGGCGCCAGTTCAAGGAAGGCGAGGAGTGGAACTGCTTCTTCGGCTACAAAGTCTACCCAACCCTGCGCTGTGAGTGGGCACGCAGCGCGGGGGGGCGGGGGGGGGACGGTGGTCCAGGACTTTCTCCCCCTCGCTGCAACC